GTGAGGGCCAGGGAAGTGCTAAAAGTCTGTTAAGCTGATCTGTGGGAATTTGTTTATATTTCTAGTTTCAAAGTAATCTGCCTGTGTTCTGTGGTGTCTCATTGCTGGGTTTGTTGTTTGTTGCTGTTGAAAGTAGCTGATTCCTCTCCTTTTCCTCTATTTTCATTGTAATTCTCAGGTACATTTCTTTGATTCTCATCCATGTAAGTTCAAGTTTGAAGTGGAGAAAAGTGAAGAATGTTACTGAATTCCATGGCCTTAGGAAACATTGTTTGCTGATTACCATTTCATAATGTAGTTTGTTTAAATTGTCTGGCTATTACTAATTGACTTAGTTAGTGTGGATTCGAGCCAGTGACTGATTTGTATAATTTGGACTAATGAATTGTCCCGCATGATTCTGATTGTTTAATTAGCAAATGGATATTTGGGTATTCAGGTTCATGTATATAGTTCAGGTGGGGGTTATTTTATTTAAACATTTCATGTTTATACCATTATCATTTTCTGTTTGCTTAAGTTTCATGGCATGCTGAAACCGAATTTGCAAAAGTTGCAATTAATTTAGAGTTTGGTTGCCTTAATTTTGGGTCTAAGATGAATTGGGCACAGCTTCATGCTGCGCCAGTTTTGGGCCTGGCGAATTTGCAGTCAGCCCAGACTGTGGTTAGACGAGGAATTGAAATAGGGCCAAAGGATTCAATCCCTGGGCTATGCGGATGCAAGCCCAGTTTTGGGCCTGCTCTGTGCCTGACGCGCAGGTGCTCTAAGGGGCTGAGTTCGCAGCCTTGGCCTGGTTGGGCTTTATGAGCTCAGGGCCTAGTCGCTTGGTATTTTTGTCCGGATTTTCAACTTCAAAATCAATAAATTGTAGGCCTAATCAATTAGAATCCTCAAGTAGTTAACGACGCAATTATTCTATTGCGTATGCTAGGAAAGGGTGTTTAGTGAATTTCACCGCCTTTCCCAAAATAACAAATACGTTAGAATCTTTAAGCACGCTCTTAATAAAGTTACCTTCTTAAACTCGGGTGCGCATGGATGCGACCCAAATCCAAATCCCGATGAAGCCAGGATGTGTCCACAATCGCGGGTGCATTGATTGCGATGCGGTTCGAAACATGTTTTCGCAGCATCGTAATTCTTATAAAAAATAATTAATAATAGAAAAGAGCTTTACAAATTAAGACGAGCCTCACCACACCAAAATAATAAATGTGGGGCCCTTAGCAAGTAATTATTGACATAATTAGAATTGGGATGGCCGTTTAGCGAACTTCACGGGTTTTCCCCAAAGTAACACTACGTTAGTATCTTTAGGCACAATTTAATTAAATAACCTTCTTAAAAAAGTCGGGTGCACATTGATGCGACTCAAATCCAAATCTCGACGAAATCAAAATGTGTTGATAACTACGGGTGCATTGACTGTGACGTGGTTCGAAACGCGTTTTCATGACGTCGCAATTCTTTTAAAAATAATAAAAGCGGGTTACAAATAAAAGGCACAGGAGCTAGCATGTATAAAAATCAAATAAATTAAATATAACAGTTAAGCGACCGTGCTAGAACCACGGAGCTCGGGAATGCCTAACACCTTCTCCCGGGTTAACAGAATTCCTTACTCGGATTTCTGGTTCGCGGACTGTTAACAGAGTCATAAATTTCCTCGATTCGGGATTCAAC